AGACGAATTATTATTACCCACCACGAGTGCGAGGCGAGAGGGAATTCGTACCTCCACCGCCCGACCCGACCCCCATCACTCTAATGATTTTTCCAAAGCTACACCCCAGCTTACATGGCAATTCCAATGAATTGAATTCTACTATTTACGATACACCTTGACTTAAAGGTGATGTTTTAACGTCATCAAAATTCTGTTTGGATTCATCATCTCCGTGTCTGACTATGAGTCACTTTTCGTGTGTGCGTGTGAGAAGGGAGAGAAAGTGAAGCAAAATATTAGCAAAATAATTAGCCCAACAATTTGAGCGAGTCTCAATTAATTTTATATTTTGCTGGTAATTTGGGACCAAGAAGTAAGCATAAAGTGGAGGGAAAAATCTAGTTAATAGTCACTTACTCAGTGAGCGAGCAAGAGAGAAAGCCGTGGAAAGCCGTGGAGTAAACGAGGCGAAAAGAAAGAGAGAATCCAATCGTGTCCAGTGCATAAAAGGGGGAAGGTGCGGCAAGGAAAATACTTGTTAATAGTATTTGGTCACTTTGTGTCCGCACACAAGTCAGAGTCGGAGTGATATAAAAATACCATCTGAGCATTTATGGCTTAAAGTGCTCAAAGATATAATATAAGCTTAATAGCTTTTCACTCTGCACGACTACTTTCTCCTGCTTCGCTTCCTTCTTGCGGGCATAACAACCTCCGGGAGGGGATGGTATAGTGGTCGCTCCCACCACCACCACAAAAAGCCGAGCTAGCCATCAATTGACTTGGCTATTTGCTCCGGAATAAAACAAAAGTTGTATATATACGGTTCGCCCTGAAATCACCAAGTCAGCTTCTTTCTCCATCTGCAATTTTTTGGCAAAAATGGATTCAACATGAGGGAAAGGCTGCGAAGGGAGGAGAAACATAAAACTTATAGCTAAGCTTAGGCAGAGAGGAGGGAAATAAAAATAATCCTTTGTCCATACCCTGAGCAGGGCGAGATGGGGGCTAAAGCTTAACGAGAAGAGGAAAGTGGTTGTGCCCTGAGATGGAGAAAGCGTTTCCTTGTAACCTTCAAAAAAACATATGGCAGGTTGTCAACCAGCCAACGCTCCCTCAACAAAACGTATAGACTGCGTGTGACTGAGTGTGTGTGTTGTGTGTGCATAATATGTACACCCGGATCGGCTAATGGAGTCGAGAGGAAGGGAGAAATTATTCGCCAAAAATTGAGTGGATTTTGGCTACACTTGTTCTCACTGATAATTCAAATTTTGTAGTGGTTTTAATGAGTTTTTGCAATTAGATAATCTCTGTAGATTTTACGACATAGAATCAGAGTTCAAGCGGTACTCGACCGTGACCGGGCCAAAATTCCAGACCAAAAATGTCTTCATCTTACTCGTAACTTTTACATTTTTACAGATATCTTAGGAAAAATAAATTTCAGGCACGTTTCAAGTCATCCAAATATGTACAAGGCCCCAAGGAAAAATTAGTTGGAAGCTGTTTTATTATCTCCAAGAGTTTTCTCGAGTACATGGAGTGGTACAGGTGGTATAATAACGGCCAGCCATGCAAACCTATCGTTGGTTACACTCCGTTAATTTCTACTGTGTATTTATTCCACAGCAACACAAATCTTCCTCGACTCACTGCTGTCTTTATCGGCTGTACCACATGTATGCGCCACTTGAGGAAGACGAGAACTCCCATTTTTCAATTATTGAGGAAAACACAAGCTTGAGTATGTGTGTACAGTGCCTCCGTAGGATTTTGTAATATGGCTAAAAATTATGAAATAAATCGAGAAATACTCCTTAATCTATTTAATACCACAAGCAAGCCTGCATGCGACTTGCAAATGCGTCGCAAGTTTTCTTGTAATGTGTACAATCCATAAACTGGTTTTCTGCTTATGAGATGGAAAAATGGAAATATGGACTCCAGCAAAATTCTCACGCTCGTATTGTACGTAGAAATACTCACTGTATGCACATATATTATATGAAGATGAGCTAGAAACCCACACGTGAGATGATTCATTTTATGGATTCAAGGTTCTAAATGCGTTTTATGAGTAGGACATTACTAAACCGAGAGCATTAATTGATCAAGGCGAATGTTTATCTCTTCAACTCTGCAATTTGTGCAAATGCAAAAGTATAAAAGCGGAAAAATATATGTTGAAAGCGCTTTTTTTCGCCCGCCTACTCATCCTATCGTATGACGATTACCGTCATTACCACCATTGTTTGCATTGCTGCTCTGGACGCGTGGAACAAACAAGGATCCATTATCACCACCATTTATGCCCTCTTTGCTCATAAAGCGTGACTCAAAAACTTCGGAAACCATTACATTCTAAAAGTATGATTGTATTTTATTTGCAAATTGCTTTCTTGTATCTGGAAATTGCCTGTGGAAATAATGAGCCTCGAAAAATTACACTGAATCCCTTACAAACTTTGTTTTTATTGCGCAAGCCTATCCACCAGCATGCATAGAAACCCAAAATACAGGTTCCAGTCAAAACGTTAATTACATGGCAAGATTTTCAGCGTGGTTTCATTTTCTTTCCAATTTTCAAAACTCAATAAGATAAATGCAATACAATAAAATTTTAAAGGCACATATTTTACTGGATAGCGTTATCGAGCTTGTGCCTTTAACTGTGGTCGACTGGACATTGAATTGAAATGGTTTTTCAATGCTTCAAAGAAAGAAAGAAAGAATGAAGGATTGTGAAATGATTATTGCACTGAATACACATTTTCATGGGGCTTTGGGAATCCTGGAACCGAATACAGAATCAAACAGAGTGAAAGAGAGAGAGAGAGAGAGAGAGAGACGGAAGGTTGAAATAATGCCACATGCCTTTCAGCTCATTTCCCAATTCATTAATCAAACAGCTAGGGGAGAGTCATTATTTCATGTCTTTCAAAATTCGACGTCTTCAACAATCATGCTCTATAGCCTGTGCGTGTGTGCACCTTATAGATCATCCGATGCCTTCTTTACAAACACACGATCTAGATTCCTTGTGTACAGACATAGTTCTCTTTCTGGCGTATTACAAGAGCCAATGGTCCGAACAAGCCAACAGGATGATACATGGTAATCATTCATACACATGGAGCAAACGAGGTTGCAAGCACTTGAATTCACCAGCACAATTTTATTTTGTCGGCTCATGGTGATCAAATATAAAAATTTAAAAAACTGAGTGAAGGGGCAGCCAAATTAATGACTACTGCTGCTGCTCCTTGCCAGAGAGATGATGGGGAGAAAGAAATTGCAAATTACGAGAGAGATGATGATAAGTGACAAATACCAGTTCAACCGCAGCTAATGGCTTTAGCCTCAGGTCCCCATTCCATCTCACATACACTTTAATTAAAATGAGAAATACTCTACAGGGTAAATTCCCACTTGCAATGTCTACACAGGAGACGCACTCTTTACGAATGTAATCTAATACAAATTAACAATCATCATGCGAACCGCAATATGTTTAATGCGAAATTCTAAAGTCGAGTACAAATATGTAGCAGTGTAATATTTCTTTGAAATCATAGGTATTTACAAGATGAGACCAACAACAATGCGGCCAAAAAGAGCCACATGCAAGGAATCTTCTGGTGCAAGTGCTGCTGCCGTCTTGCTGAACAAAATATAAAATCAATTCCTACAAATACATGGATTTGTTCAACCTTCAACCTGTAAATAGATGAAGTCTGTCGCTGACATGACCCAAGTGGTATTCACTCAAGTGAATCAAATGCTACATGCCTGGAAGATATATTTTCAGAGCTCATACTGGTTGGTTGGTTGGTAGTCTGCTCTTCTGTATGCATGGTAATTATCTGCAACCATGACACGCCAAACCAGGCAGCTCAAGATATTCTATCATTTTTCATTCCTTCTTCTCAATAATGCATATGCACATTTTTTCCGGTCCCCACCAAACTTAATACTTTTTCTTATGCTTGTGAAAGTAATTTGTAGAGTTGTCAATATTGGTGTGGATGAATGGTGAATGGTATGGCATCGTGCGGGCAAAAAATATGTTTGACTTTGTATTATGTTATGTTGAACTTTGGAAGTGAGAGTCATTAGTCGAAATTATTTCGTCTCGCGCAGAGCCCATATGGTGGAGCAATTACCACCCAAGGGTTTAACTACATTATGCAACGCTTCCATCGAACAACCGCCGATAACCGTCGGGTGAGGATGTTATGCATGTAGTTGTACTCGGAGTGAAGAATATTTCATGTTCCACTCTTACTACTTGGAATAAATTTTAAAACGCTCCATACAAATGGCTATCACGAATCGCTTTTCGTGTGTGTTCTTTACAACTTCCTGACCAACGTGGTTTCATGTATGCAATTGTGAAATATTGCTAACTTTATTTAGACGAAGACAGAATTGTGTCGTCAGGACTTGGGACGAAAATTGCATACTTTTACACAAAAATTGGAATTAGTCATATATTGAAAATCTATAGTTGACAATTAATTATTTTAAAAACCTTATAATCAACATAATTGTGCATACATACGTTCACTACCGTAAAAATAAAAGAAATAAGCCTTGCTATTCAATGGATTATTAGGAGCGTATGAGTTTCGTAGTTATTTGCATTGTGCGACTGCATATGTATGCATCTCCCTGATTCCACTTTCACTTGATGCAGAAAAAGGTTCGTAAAAGCCCATAGAAAGCAAATGATGAAACCTCGCAGGAATAAATAATGTAATGTTTTTATACGGAGGCGAAAGAGCCCGAGGAGAATGAGGTGCAATTGGCGAGACTTTTAATTGTGAAATAAATATGATGCAGCCTTGGTGTGATCAATTAAGTTGAGCACAGGTCATACTTAAGTTTTTTATGCTTCTAGCCATCCAGCCACATGAAACAAATACAGAGTGCAGAGAACACACATGATGCTGATTGCATGCTAGCCAAAGAGGAGGGTGAGCAGAAAGAAGTCAAAACACACAAACACTGGGCGCTTATTATTTCAAGAAAAACTTGTATTTTATTGAATAGATTAAATTAAATTTGATAATAATTACTTACGTAACAGAAAGGAAGTCTAGACAAATGTTTATTAATTAATAGTAGCATGTATTATAGATTGTAATACACATTTAAACAACTGACTTTTTTGTTTGTTTTGACTCCTTTTCTGAATGCAACAGTTTAGTTAATATTGTTTGTTGATTCTCCCACGTAGACTTAGTTTAGGATATTTGTATTTGTAATTTGTAACATGTATAGCAGACCGGAATTATGTAAAACATGCTTGCTTCTCTTATTTAAATTCCGTCTAATACGTACACCGTATCTCATCTCAACTCTGGATTCTCTCCACCTTTGTCACCCACAAACCAATAATTCTCATATTTGACATCTCTTTCTCTCCCTCAAACTACACCACGATTCACCACCTTCCAACTGAACTCTTGCTTATTTATGTATCTCAGAGGCGGCGGCCATACTTCCCACACATAAAATTACTTGCTAATAACTACAAATTTGTTGAATGGTTGCTCTGTTTATATTTAACAACAATATTAAAACTATTTTGTGTGTACATTGGATTTAAATTGATAAAGGTGTTATTTTGTGTTGTATATATGTATGTATGTGTACGTAGTGGGTATCCGGCTCTGCTAAAACTTTTGCTTTGTTAGAGTTTTACTTTAGATTAGTGTAACAATTACTTAATTATATATGTATGCAGACATATGTAGATATAGATGTATTTTTATATATATGACCTAGTTTGGAGTGGGTTCACCTCCTGTCGGCGCCTGAGTGAGAAGGATCTCAGTCCACAGAAGCATGAATTAATTGCAATACTTGTCTATAGCCTTTGGTTAAATCTACATACTTGTCTCACCGTAAAATATTATTATATCTTGGTTGATAAAATCCTAAGGTTTGTTTGTTCCTATTCTAAGAAGGTAAATTGTAATAAGTTGTTTAAATTTGTAGGGTGTGGGCTTCTATGACGCTGGGGATACAAATTTCTGAAACTATGAGTGTATTATAATTCTGCTATCTAAATATATGTATATGCTACTACTGTACTTCTAACGTAGCAGTGTAATGTTCCTGTTATTCAGCTAAGTGAGTGAGAGGTTGAGGATTTGATATCATCTAAAAGTTTGTATATTTAATATGCTTCAACGAATACGGATTCACCAACGATTACTTCTTCTGAGATTTGTTCCTCCTTTTAATAATCTGCCGATGAAATCTCTGACACGGGATTAACAATGAAATGACACAAATTATGCAACTTCGACTTTTCGTTTGACACGAACATGACATACTTTATACTGGAACGAAGCCGACTTTCTATTTTAATATTGATTTGATGTTTTTACAAATAGTCTGAGTCTGACTGTCGATCAAAATCATGTGATAATCCTTGCCAGGCAGGTTATGACATTTTTATAGCACGAGTAAATACATAGATACAGGAATGATCGAAGAAGTACGTGGCTGTAATTTGCTGCTCTTTGCTCTCTATCTATTTGTTTGTCTCCTGCATTTCCTATACTGATTTATTATATTTCATTTGATTGAGTTCAAGTTTAAGGTGGAATTAGGGCCAATTTATTTATTTGAGTTATTTGATCATGTCACTTGGTTCAGGTTGGAGTACTGTTCTTATGAAATTAAAAAGGTTGGCGAGTTGTCGAACTTGTCAGCCAGGTTTTTCAGATTTTGGGGTGATGAGGAAGAGGTTGAACATTGAAGATAAAATCCAAAGTCAGCAATGCTTACCTGAAATAAAAATTTTAAAAGCTTCATTAGTGATGATAAATTAGCATAATCTGAGTTCAGTTCATAAATGCGCAGAATTACTCCACAAATGACATTAATGAGCAATATTATTCAATTTAGTTCAGTGCATAATCCATACAGCGATTGAGTAATCTCGTTGCGATATAATTTCACTTTGACTCTCAAAAAATAAAATTTTTCGAAGTTCGTCATTTTACAAAAATGATACATACTTAAATACATAAATGTTCGGCTATGAATGAAACATTTTCTGCTGCCAGCTTCATTTGCTACTTTCTACCCATCCGGAATTAAAGTAAACGTGTAAGTACATATTGTTTTTAATGTGTGCATATTTGAAATTGCGCACAAATTAAGTACGCCAAGGTAGTTTAGCAAAGTATGCGAGCACACATATACCCAATTATTTATGAGACACGCGGTTGAAGTATCTTCCATTCCGTTGAGGTTGGCTAAGTGAAGTATGAAGCCGATAGAGGAAAAGGCTTAAGAAAGAATAACAGAAGGGCAAACAGAGCTTAGCAAAACAAGCTAGACCAACAAAGGGGAATTATACTTTGGGCATTTCTCGTATACTCGGGACCACATTGGTATGGAACCAACCGTTATGATGACACATACTACACACCCTTTCAACTCAAGTGAAAGGAAAGCCAACTAAAGTCCACCAGGACAAACGAAACAAGAGCTCAGTGGTGGTGGGGCTGGGAGAATCTGTCCAACTGGAAAGGTTGAAAGTCCCTCAAGGATAAATTAAAAATACGCAGGGCAAACTTGGGAGTTTTACTTTCCACTCACTCGCATTCTTATCTAAAGAAAGCAAAGAACAATAAGTGAAAACTAGATCCAACCGAGCACATTGAGGTGAAGTGCCACATGAAATACATCGACAACCAAAACTCCCCGACAAGGCGAGATGTGCCGGGTAGAGACAACACATATTTTAGTCCAAGCACAAAAAGAAAATGTAATAAATAAATCAGGTCCTGGAAACTTTGAGCAGCCGTAAAGTGGAAACGTTGCATAACCCATCACAATGCTACACACTTTGCTTCCCTGTTTACCAGAGCTAATCCTAAGCGCAATAAGCTTTTAAAGAAAGTTAAATTCGACACTCCATGAATTTTTGAATATTGTCTAAATTTCGGCCTTAGTTCAAAGTTCAGCGATGCTAGATCGACAAATGCATTTGTAAATGCTACAATTTTATCAAATTTAGACAGCTAGACCTGCTACTTATAGTTTCCATTCATCGTACTCTTTACATAGATATTCTATTCCTAAGTGAATATGTATGTACGACTTTACTGAATATTTTCTTCAATAACTACAAAGCCGCAATAATGTGTCAAACTACAAAACTAAATGCGATCATTCGGTTTAAGGAGCTTTCTTGAGAAGTGTTTGCAATTAATTTTAGCTTAACTGGCACAGTTCCGAAATTTGGTTTCTGTACACGAGTTTTTACTACGAATATGTATGTAGTGCGTAGATACAAGAAAAGTAAGTGCCTGGGAATTAAAAAACTATAATGACTGAAATTCTCTCTGCAACACTATTGCTTTATTCATGGGGAAGATAAGAGGTCATACGACGAAAACAAGGAGAAGTGTCAAGAGGAAAGTGGAGAACACGTTCCGCTTAATTCCTGCTTCGAGGCCGTTGGAGCAAGGAAAAGCATAAAAAAATTGATTCCATGATTACAATCCCATTGAAGATTGGAGATTGAAGAGAGATTTTGTATGTTGAGAGCGAACGAGCGAGCGAGCGATGTCGCTTTGGGTTTCTTGCTCGGTTGGTCGGATAGTTGGTGACAGATCGTTCGTAGCTCATCTTGATTTGAATTTAAAATAGCGAAAGAGATTTAGAATCAGTAAGTAAGGAATTTGAGTCGGCTTAGGTCTTGTGAGTCGGATGAGGAGGAGACTCTAATGGAGGAGATGGAGAACACACGGAATAGACAAGTCGGACGAGATCGTGGTGCGTTGGTCGCTCCATGCACGCCGCTGACTGATCGAGGAAAGAAGGACGAGTCGAGAAGATGATCAATGATCAAAAAAGTCATATTAGCAAAGAGTGTCACCCGAGATTTCAATGACATCAGTCAGATACGGTGTCAGACGGGGAGACAGCAAAAATGAATGAATCTCCGCTGCGCCCGGCTCCTTTATTAAAAAGAAAAACCTGCTTCGAAGAATGATGCATCTGCCCCTGATCTGTATTCGATAGGGTTGTCCAAAGGGCTAAACCATGATCCAACCAGGGCAACCATAAGCAGTAACAAGCATCAGGATGTGGGACGAATTCATAAAAGATGAAATTGGCCACGGAATCTGCTTCATGCAAATTCTTCTCGTGTCGTCGTGTGATGGGATGCTTGAACAAAACGGTTGTGAAATGCATTACTACAGCCAAACTACAAGCCTTCCTATGCGGAGAGAGATATATTTGTTCTCATGTTTGTCATGCCTCGTTTTTTGCCCATTTCAATTACAAGAGTAACAAAGTCCTTTGCATAAGAAAAATGTTGTTCTAGGAGAGTAAAATTTTAATTGAGATTTTAAACTTTATCTTATCTCAACATGTGGCAGTAAGCCGTACATGTTGCGCTCGGTTGAGTGGTTTTTTAACACTAATTAACACAAGGATTAGTAAACTTTAATCGGTGTATTTGTTTCAGCATTTGTGTGTAGTCCTCTCCTGAGAGTCAAAGTCAACTCGCTATTTTCATCCAAGTAGAAGAATTGATCGGTCCGGTCTGCTTCGTCGTGAAGGAATCCCTATTAGTTATCATCCGCTGGATTTGCTAATGTGTGAAATCAAACCAGCTTTCTATCTGCTCACAATTTATAGTCCATCAGAATTGCGCGTCATTAGCATATCGCAAACATAAATCAACCCTTCCTTGCCAACCATGATGACATCAGGAGGAAAACGTTTCTGAAAGCCTTATTCTTCGTTTTTAGCCATAAATTATATTAGCATAAATAATTTCAAATCGCATAAAGTTCGCAGTACTAGTAAACAAGAGAATTGCAAAATATCGCATTTTAGACATTGTTCCTCTCATTTTAACAAACTAATTATTAAAACTTGTAATAACGTGACTTATGAAAATTACTGTACTAACTCGTCCTCTAAAATGAAACTACTCTGAATGACTCTAGATTAAGATGTAAAACATTTGAAATTTTGTTAATTTTGTACCAACTACTAAATACATGTTTTGTATGCAATACTTATACTCGTAATATCCTGAAATGTTCAATGCAACTTTTTGCTGATTCTTATATAAATAAAGTCGAGATTTTTACCCGATATCACGTTATTTCAGGTAGAAAAAATCCATAGTATTACAATTCCTGGGTACATTTACCCACTTTATACCCTGTGACGCAACAATAATGTTTGTTCATGACTTATTTACTAAATTTACAATTAACAGTTGAGAATGAATAGAATCGCTGTGTAAGTGGGAGCAGTTGTTGGAGCTTATCTGTGAGTCTAGCCATGTAACATTTTGTAGCAAGTACTTGTCTTCAATTGAGTTGGCACGGTATGACCACTTTTGCCTCCTCCGGGTCTACTAAATTTTGCTATCTTGCACTGACGAAGCCTTGCTTGGACTATTTTTGGGTTGCAATCGAACACAATAGTTTCATCTGTATCAAAAGCCCGGTGGGGTGGGACAAGCTCTAAAGCAAAGTGGAATCTATTCAAATTTTGAGAACTTGAGAAATGTTGAACTTGACAGAACTTAAATAGCGCACTTGGTTGGTTCTTATCAAAAAGAAGTTAATTCAGTGCAAACCCCTTCATCATCACTCACGTGGCCTCACTCAGAGAATCAAACGTTCCGAGTACCACAAATAATGTTTCCCCGTCTGTGTGTGCTATATCACTTATTTATCTAAAAATAATCCTTTTTATGATTAGAATACTAGACACGCTAAAACACTCACACAATCGAGTGATGATGGCACCAGGGTTTTTTGTCGTCAACGACATGAAAAGGAGTATGAGAGGCAAATCAGGACTTCAAGAAAACAGTTTAGTAGCTCCAAAATCTAAGATATTAAATCTTCATTAAGACTCCCAATTACATAACAATAGACAAAGAACTATGAAATTAGTAAGGAGATTAAGGATTACAAAATATCCTGATGGGTGCCAAATTTACAACTTGCATCTGTACCCTATTATCTAAATACATATGTAAATTTACATCTGCCTTTCAAGCATTATGTGTGAATAAATGCATGTATCTTGAACTAATGAACTATAATAATAATCTGCAACAATAATAGCACATTCATTAAATAATGGAAATGTGGCAATGCGTAAATCACGCCCTGATTAAATAGCTGAGCTGAGCTAAGTCAAACTTGAACAACATACCTGAGACCTATTTTAAATCTTGCTAATCCACGCAGCCCGACAAATTTTTTCATGTTAACACGCACCCAAATAGATATAAAGCATGTACGAAATGACAGATATCCAAGTTAAGTGCCGCTGTCAGCAATAAATCTAACGATATTTTGCTTAGCATTGAACAGTGGAAATCTTATCTTGAATCCCAGAATATAAAACTCTAGACAACGAGGATGGAATTCATGATAATCTTTCACCGTCTCGTTCAAACCCTTCTTCATTTTCCGGCATCAAGCTCCTCGAAACCCACTCAAAGAATCCAATCCAAAAAATATGAACCGAGTAATTTTGAATTCAATTTTTTATTTTGTTTGCATATATACATTTGAATATCACTAAAGTTTTCGGTTAAAAAAGTCTTGAACTCATCGATCGATCATATGTAAAACCTATATTTTCCCGGTAGTTAGCCTGCACACATATATTTCGAATACGTACAGATGCACATAATGCATGCATATTTAGCAGTATTTTAAACTTGATTTTTAAACCACTTGATACCTAAATGCGCACAATACTTTTTGTGCCTAGGAATATGCACGTTG